CCAGGGTAGGGGAGCCAGTTCCCAATGGTTGAGAGCTGGCTCTCAACTTGTGAAAGCTGGCTCTCATGCCTAATTATGTACTAGACGTGGATTTAGGGACTGTTTTGGTATTTTTTAGGTTCTTGGACTGTTTTGGGTTATTAGTAAGGACTCTAAACATTATATTATGTTATATTAGAACCCATATTGCATATATAATGTCTTTATGCTTATGGATTAAATAGTATAAAAGTTTAAACAATCTTGCATGCTGTTAACAGATAAAAGGTTATAAGTGCTGTAATTTTATTCTATCAATTTAACGGACTGTAATATGATTTTTAAATCAGTATTGGATGCATAATAGGGTCATATACTTATTAGATTTTATTATGCTTATTTTGGACTTTAATTGATGAACCATTAAATATTGTTCTATCAATTGCATGGATGTTATTTTGGACTTTAATTGATGAACCATTAAATATTGTTCTATCAATTACAGGGATGTTGTTCTGGATTTTGGTTGATGAACCATTTAAATTATGTTTCTATCAACTATATGGATTATGTGGGTTTTATTTGATGTACTGTTTTAAGTGTTGAATCATTTATGGATCATATGTATTATATGCACCGGTATGGGACGGTGGCATATTAGGGATAGATTAGACCAAAACACTAATTCCTACTTATTCATACATACGGAATGGATTAACTAAGATAGTTAAAACCTACTTAAATTTATGTCATGTTAACTAAAACAGTTGAACGACATAATGGATGTTTGTTTTATATTCTGTATTATGAAGGATTTATATATATAATTATGGCACCGCGATATGAGCTTGAGTCTCAGAGTCGATGGTTATATACAGTGAATGCGTAGCTGGCTATGATAGGTTGAGGTATACCTTGTTAGGCTTAGGTACTCATGCCCACTCAGGTGCGTTTTGCATGTTGCCTTCTATTCAGGTTGGACCCTTTTGTAGTCCAGTGAATGTCCCTTAGTGTGGATATATATATGTATGGACTAGATAACTATTGTTGAGATATCTAGGATATATCTGCGTATCGGGTCTTTATTTGGATTGTAGTTAGATTAGAACTTATTCGTGGGCTTGACCCACTATTATTTTTCAGGTATCGGACGGTTCCAATCTTAGAAATTGTTCGTGCTGAGCGGAGACAATCACTTATTCCTCCGCCTACGTAGGATTACTTTTTATTGTTTTAGTTTTGGATTTTGTTTCCTTACTTTACTTTCCATTGGGTTTTATTAGGGATCCACTAGATGGATTCCCGAGTTGTACGGATATTGGAAAGTTTAGATTTTATTAGTTTTAACTTTTGAGGATTTTAATATTTAGTATTCTTTTCAGCCTTTATTATTTTATTCTTAATTCTTTTTGTATTCCTGCTTGTTTACATACTTAATTGTCTGGTATCACTCGGATATGTGCTCGGACTTGATCACCCGTGGCTCTAGAATTGAGGGGTATCACATACTCTTTCTAATTCAGAGGCTAGACATATCTTTTTTGATGTTCTCACAGTACAGAACGCTAGCTTACAAGATATTACTATATAAATTGTGATTTTTTGTTGCTGTCTTTTCTTTGTGCTTTGCTGAAGTGGAGATTCTAGGGGACCTTATTTTTTGTTTCTGTTTTGTTACCATGAACTGATTATAAGGGTCTGCATTTTCTGTTTTTGGAGTTGTTATTTTTTTATTCATTCGTTTGCTATTTTACTTTTCTTTTGGAGCTTTTGGATGCTTGTATCCATTTTCTTTTTAGGTTTTCATGTTCATTTATCTGAGGGAATACCCTTTGTGCACTTGTAAATATCTTTTTCCTTTTTTATATACAACCATAATTATGAAACAAAACTAATTATGTTTTTTTTTTTCAAAAACCCTTTCACCTGGTAGACTGCAAATTTGGTCAGCATTTATAACCTCAAAACCTTCTGCCTAATGGCCATGAAAATTTCAAGACCACCATTACTTTCTATTTCACAGCTTCAATTTTCATTTCATATTTCTATAAAAATAACAATCACAACTTCTTTCAACATCTGTGTATTATGAATTGCATAGTACATCAACAAACCTTCCTAACATGTGTATGTATATTGTACTTCTTATTTCAATTAATGAGATACACTTCATTTTTTATTTCATATTTTTATTAAAATAACAACTACATATTCTTTCAACGTCTGTGTATTATGAATTGCATACCATACTAACATATGTATTTACAGTTATACAACTAAAATTAACACAATTTCAATTTACACTTCTACAACTAAAATAAAAAACACTAATCTAATCAATCAAATTTTATATAATCAATCAATTTTTGTAAAACCTAAATACTAAAATAAAAGTAATTATGGATATAAATTAATTTCAACAGCTTAAGGAATATTTACCTATACATGACGAAGACTAAGGCAGGCGTTTTCACCAATTTCTGCTCACCACCTCCAATATCTTCTTTGTTCATTGTTTTAGATACCGATTTCTTTTCCAATTTCTTCTTTCCAATACTTTTTTTCCTTACTATTATATTTCCCCAAATGTATAAAACCCTCGCAAAATCACAGTATAAAACCTTCTCAAAATCACACGATTTCTTCGTTTATGGAATAAGATGCAACAACAATAGCAACTGAACAACAACAATTGCTACTAAACGAACCAAAGGGAAGATGGAGAAACGAAAATACAATACCGGCTCTGAGGGAAAATGACACAAACCTGAGGAGGGAGGACGAAGGATGAAGGAGGGAAGAGAAGGTGAAGCAAGAAGAAGATAATTGAAGCTGAGGAAGTAAATTAAAAACTAAATGACCAAAGGGAAGCCGCCGGCGCAAGGTTCGGATCGGAAAGCAAAGGACAATTTTAGGAAGATGAACAGTGCTGCAGCTCGGAGAAGAAGAACGCAAAGAGAAGAGAAGAATTAAAGTAAAAAGGGTAAGTAAGTATGTAGTTAGGTCCTACGTATAATTTTTATATATCGTATTCGTATATGGTAATTATGTATTTTGCCTGCAGTATTCGTACATGGTAAAAAAAAACTAAGTTTAAAGAGTAACTGCTGACTTGGCGCTTCGTCATCACTGACAAGGCAATGACATGGCAAAATGTGCTGACGTGTCTTCATCCTAGCCCTTGGATCTGCCATGGACACCCTCGAGTGAGAGGTTCCATGGAGAGGGTTATAGCCCCTCTCAAATAGATGCATCTCTGGCTCCCATTTGCAAACGTGGAAATCTATTGATAAGAATGCTGTCAGCACCTCCGAGTGATCTTTAAGAAAGTCAGTGCTGACGTGGTCATGGACGATAATCCATATTGAATCAGTCGAATTGTGTTTTGTCATGTCGGACATTGAGTAGCCTTCACCTAACTACTTAGCATACATAAATAATTTTGTTCATTAATCACCTACCTTAACACTAACTTTCATTCCTCACCTAATCTTTTATGTACATTGTATTTATTCAACTCAAAACAGTACATAACCATATTTTCTCTCTCTATCTTGCTAACAAAATAATACAAAGCTCATATGAATTTTGAATAATAAAAACCAGTCAAATGAATTATATAATATGTGCATCAATATTACATCTTAATTACGAGAATAAATTGAGAGAAAACTGGTCGGTAATTCCTAATTCAAAGGAATTGGCGGTTAGGTTTTTCTCCGAATCATGTAGATGTAACAACCAAACCAAACCCTATGCACTCAAAATGATGCCATTAATTATGATGTAGGTTGTATAGAAAATGGCAAAAAGGAGTAAATTATTAAATAATTTTGGATTACATAATTTTGCCATCATACAAGTAAATATTTTTATTTTATTTAAATTTTTTTTCTTGCGTTGTGTGGTGTAGTTTGTAATGAGTCAAAACTATATAATTTTGTATTTTTAACAATTTATATTATATATATGGGAGACACGTAATATTAGTTTGCATTTTGTACTCATTTAACAGTTTTAACTGACAATATCACAACTATAACTTTTAGTCGATAATCGCCTTTATGAAAGAATGAGGAAGAAAGAGATAATAGACGTAGCTAGTGAATTATTTAATAATAATTTTTTTTTTTAAATAGATGAATAATAGTATCTCATTTATCTTTTAAGGTGGAAGACTAATAATTGATATTATTATAAAAACAACTTGAGTTAATTAATCCACTTTGGATATGGTTCAGCAGTTTACTCGCTGGACTTTGGAGCTTAGCAAACTCAAAGTTTGGGGTTCGAGTCCCATTGGGTGTTCTTTGTGGCTAGCTTCCACTGCCTCTGTAGTGACTTACCAGGCCGGGGTGGGGAGGCGCCCTTCCGGGTACTAGGGGATTAGTCGAGTTGTTAAGGGGCCCTATTAATAATAATAATTATAATAATAATATAATAAAATAAAAAAACTACTTTGAGTTACTTACCTAAATGCATAAGAAAACTAAAAATAAAAACAATTTTTTTTGTTAGTATTATGAATTTAGTAAATATTTGTAATGAAACTCTTTTTTACCCCCGTAAAATATAAAAGACATGAGATGAGGTGGGATTCATGGAGTGACATGGGCATCATGACAAAAATAGTTCTAATGATAAAAGGTTAAAATAGTCATCTTACTAAGAGCATCTCCAATAGACTCTCTAAAATTAGGCTCTCCGAATTTGCTACATCAACATTTTTCAATAGCCACATCAGTCTTTCCCATAGCCACGTCAGCGTTTTACAGTCTCCAACTTTTAGCTATCGCATGCACTCCAATGGTGCATTTTCGCTCTCCAAAAATATTAATATTTTAATATTTTTAAAATTTAAAATAAAATTTATTTTTTAACTTTTTCCTAACGGCTATATTTATAATGGCTATATTTTTCATGTTATATAAACAACCATTTATTCATCTCATCATTATTACATTTATCTAGCTTATTGTAGCAAAATATCAATTCACATCTCTTTCAATCTCAAAATTCCAATGGATTCCTTATCACGGTTTTTTCCTTTGTCAGGCTTTAATTCTTCATCTTCTTCATTATCATCTTTATCATCCTCTTCATCAGATAATGTTATTGACACGATGATTCAACGTAATCAAGACGCCTTTCGTGAAATTTTAAATTCAGTGAACCCAGAGATAATAGAGCAAGTTTTTAAACCGCGTAAGAGGTGGTACATTCATCATGATTGAAAGGGAAGCCACCACCGTCAACTAATGAAAGACTACTTTGACGAGAATTGTACATATCCATTGGAGTATTTTCACAGATGATTCAGGATCCAATGAGAACTATTTCTTTGTATCCTGAATAATGTTAAAGCTTATGACGACTATTTCATCCAAAAAAGGGATGCAATAGGTCATTTAGGGTTATCTTCTATACAAAAGATGACAACTGTAATATGTATACTCGCATATGGTTGTGCAGCTGATCATTGTGACGAGTATATTAAAATTGGCGAGAGCACTGCCATTGAAACCCTAATGACATTTTGTAAGGCCGTTATTGGTGTGTATGGGGAAGAGTACATGCACCCACCTAATGAAGCCAAAATAGCACGACAACTTCAAGAAGGGGAGGAGAGAGGATTCCCAGGTATGCTTGTTTTTATCGACTGTATGCATTGGGAGTGGAAGAATTGTCTTGTGGCATGGCATGGCATGCACAAAGGATGCTCTCATACGCCTACGCTCATATTGGAGGCGGTTGCCTCAAAAGATTTATGGATCTGGCATGCATTTTTTGGAATGTCGGGTTCATACAATGATATTAATGTGCTGGATCATTCTTCCGTATTCGACAGTATCGTTACTGGCCAAATTCCTCCGGTTAATTTCGTTGTGAATGGCCATTACCATACAATGGGGTATTACCTATCTGATGGTATATACCCTAAGTGGGCAACTTTGATGCAGATTATCTCGCAACCAACTACAGTAAAAGAAAAACTTTTTGCTCAGAGATAAGAGGCCTGTAGGAAAGATGTGGAATGAGCTTTTGGGGTCTTGCAGAGCAAGTGGGCAATAATGCAAGGACCAGTGCATTTTTGGGATAAAGGGGACTTGTACCTTACAATGAAAACGTGCATCATCCTTCACAACATGATCATTGAAGATGAGCGCCGTGCCAATATGGGAAGATGGACTCTGCCACCAGAGGAGATAATCTCAATTCCCACTTTAATTCATAATCCATCAGTCTTAGCGGCACACATCTACTCCCGCCAAGTCTAAATTTGTAACAAGGAGACAAATATGCGGTTGAGGAAAGATTTAATTAAAAATTTGTGGAACCGCTTTAGTGAAGAACGTGTTTAATTTATGTTGCATTATTTTATTTTTAAATTGTTATGAAGTTTATGTAATGGAATATTTATTGTGTAATGTTTTATTTTGAAATAAATAATTAACTTGTTTGTTGATAAATTATTTAGCCAATATGTATGAAATCTTAATTAATATCATTTGATTTATTAATTTATAGTGAAAACAAAGACGTATTTTTTTTAATAAAAAAATCATATTTGAAATAAACAATGAAAGGTTTTTTTTTAAAAAAATAAATGTATATATACATATAATTATTTAAAAAAAATTCAAAAAATAGGTTTTTGTGCCAATATAGCCGTTAAGGCACTGTTTGGGTCAGCTAAACAGTGCCTTAACGGCTCTTTGGTTCAATTATTTTGAGGGAAAAAAAAAAGAAAAAAAGAAAAAAAAACAGACCAAAATCAGCCAAAAAACTGATTTTTTTTCTTTTTTTTTTTTTCAGGCAAACATGCCCTTAGGAACAGTGTTTTGGGCTAAATGTTAGTTTTGGGCCAGAATTAAAAAATTAAAAGAAAATGGATGCGGGCCCGCACGGCAAGCCCGTGGCTCGCCAATAGGGCCGCGGAATACCACGACCCATTTCGCGATCCATTGGGTAGGGCCCAATTTTTGGCGACCCCATTGGAGCAGTCTAATATCCAAACCTGGCCTAAAATCGTGGATTTTTTGTCCATTGGACCTACTCTAATCATTTGCTTCTGTAGGCTGTGTTTTTGGTTGAGGGAATGTTTTCCTTGGGCTCTTGTTGGGTGGACTATTTTAGGTTGTTTAGATTTGGGCCTTATTCTCTGTAGGCCCGCATCTTTGCATATTCCTTTATCCTTATTAATACATATTTTTTGGATAAAAAATTTCTTCTAATTGGAGGACCCCCACCAGTATCAACCCTATGACACAGGTGAAATCACACTCGATACATTGTTTAGCTATCAAAAATGTCTTACCATCCAACTATGCAAAACCCGCATGGGTAAACATATATTGTTAATACATATATATGCTTTAGTTTTAAAAAAAGAAAATTGTGGAAGATACAAATTTTCAGGATAGTAGGATTTCTTGATTTTTAACAAAACATACCACTATAAAACACAAGAAAATTTAAGCTTTGTGCCTCTATATTTTAGTTTCCTATTACGTTCAAACTTTTCTGAAAATAATATTTTTATATGCAAGAAACTGAATTTTCTTATACATTTCTTTTTCCTTTTATTCAAACTCTAAAAAAAAATTAAAATTTTTGCAAGGTCGAGAATGTTGTTAGTCAATTGAGGCTTGCTTAATTGGTTAGTTGATCTAGTGTATGGCAATGTCCTCCCTACTATATATACTGTATGCAAGAAAGAAATTGGATCCTTGAAGCTTCTATTGTTTAGGTGTGGGTGGGTTGTTTTATGAATGATTTGAAATACTTGTATAGTCCACCTTGTGACTTATGGTGTGTTTGGCAACACCATGTTGGGGTTTTGGAATTAGGAGCTTTAATTCCAAATCTACTATTTGAACGTTACAAATTAATTTGGATTTGGAATTGCATTACAATTCTAGACATCCTAATTCAACAATGTGAATTTCATGGGAATTGGGATGGCCAAAGATTTCGAATACTAAATCCACACAGAATTGATATCAAATTTTTAACCCGATAGAAACTTTCTCCATCGCTCACTCGACACTAAACATGAAGCTCATTCAACACCCACGCATCAACATGACTCTTCCATGTTGATCGGGTTTGGATTTTAGGTCATTTCATCTTAATCGAGTTTAGCTTTTTCTTAAATCAAGATCGATAACACTGTCTTCAAAACGAAACAAGTCTCTCTCTCTATATGTTGGAAACGGGGGCATTAACTTTGGATGAGAATTGGAATAGATTTTGCTAAGAAATTTTTGCAGATCTATAGACGAGCGCGTTGCTCTCTGCAAGGAGATGAACGTGGTATATTTACTTTCTTAAATCCTTTTCCAGGTGAATAAGAAATTAGCTCCAAAGTGATGTGTTTGATAAGCCTAAATGGGTTGCAAAAATTGAAACCATTTTAAGTTTAAATAAGCTAAGTATGGGATTTGGATTTGGGCCTAATGACACCTAAGTTTTTAAGAGGGGGAGAACCTAGGCAAGCTTGGGTTCAAACCATCTACCACACGCGTGCGCTCCCTGCCTGCCCGCTCGACCCGGTCTGGGCTTAATTGTGAAATCTGTTTAATTTTTTATTAAACAAAATTGGGTTTGGTTTGATTAAAAAGTGTGGTTAATTTTTTACTAAACGAAATTGGGCCGTTAATTTTGGGCTGGGCTTATTTAAATGGGTGGTTGGCTTTTGACATTAAAAATTAGTTTTTTTTTTTCAAAGGGTTGCATTTCTTTTCTGAAGAGTTGCATCTGTTTTCCAAAGAGTTGCATCTGTTTCCAAAGGGTTGCACCTAGTACTGAACCAACATGACCCATGGTTGTACCCGGTACTGAACAAACATGACCCATGGTTGCACCCATACCCGAAAAGGCAGTTTGTTGCCTATAAATACCACCCTTTGGGGTCATTTGCAATCACACCATTCAGAAATCATTCTTCTCCTTTCTGAATTAACTTCTTCCTCTCTTTTCTTCTATAAGTGTCTGTGGGTTACAGCCCTACTCTTTGGGTTCGATCTTTAGTCAGTGAGTTCGAGTTTGACTTCGAGTCAGAAAGTACTACACCGAGCCAGTTCACATATTCCTTTGGTTTGCAGTGCTACTACCGAAGGAAGACAAGTTATTGTATCCTAGGAGATAGACGCCATTGAGTCTGTTAGCACCATAGTGGGGCGAATCTGTCTTAAGGACATATAATAATTCTAGCCTCGACTTTTAATCAGGTTTCTTTATTTTATAGTTTTTATTTTATTATATTCAACTATATATTATAAGTAATTATATATATAGATTATTATTTTATAATAATAATTATATATATATATATATATATATATATATATAAACATTATATTTTTACATAATATTTAAATAAATAGTACTATAGTATATGGTATACTTAGACCATATTTTGGACAACACTATATACGAGTGCTTATACGTGAGTCAACTGCAAAAAATATCCCTAATGTATACTTTGCTTAGCACTTTCATCCCCTATTTGAAAAAGTGTGCTAAAAACACCTATATTCTTTTCACCTCTCAATAAAAAAATTCACGTAAAGTAATGTTGTAATATCCGTTTTGCTCTTTTACTCTTCCGAAAATGCCTAGGGGGTGCCCGGGGGGGTGTGTATGCTAATAATATCATAGTATAGGAGTGTTATGTGCACATTAACTATATTGAACTCACTTTTAAGGATTTTCTCTAACCTTTTTAAAAGAAAAAAAAAATTTCTCTATAATTTTCACTAACAGTGTATTATCCCTCTCTCTTAAAAACAAAATAAAAATTTATTGTCACAATTGTCAAATTAATGTACAGTATATCATGTGGAATGAAAACTTCAATATTTTTTTATAATTATGAAAAAGAAAAAAATTATTCCCAATTTAAATTTTAATATAGTTATCAGTTTTCATTAAATATAATTAAAAATTTAAATCAAAGACACTTATTCATTATATTTAAACAATATACATTTAATTTTTTATACTTTATAATTTGCATTAAATTTTTACAAATATATATATATATATATATATATATATATATATATTTACATAGCAACAAATGTGTATTCAATATTTATTTGAAAAAAAAAAAAATAAACAAACAAACAAATGGGTGTTCATAAAATGCTTACAGTGCATATCACACCCTTCATATACTAAATGACCATTTTTGGTTATTTCATAAAATGATGCATTTGTAAATAATAAGTCCAAAAACACTACCGTCCTTTCACTGCTCCTTTTGGGGGTGCGCACGGTGCGGTTCGGTACAATTTTTGATCGAATCGGAACCGAAACCGTTCCCAATGATTCCCAAAAATTAGAACCGGAACCGAATCGTTGAGAACTAGAACCGAACCGAACCGTAAATACTGGTACTGTTCGGTTTGGTTCCAGGGTTCCAAAACTATTTCTTTTCTTAACTATTTCTCTTCCCACAATTCCCATATTTGAGCCATAGCTAAAAGAAAATACAATAGCAAAAAAATAAAAATAAAAATACAGAATAGAAAATTGTAAACTGGTTGTCACTAATATTACATCCCATGGCAGAAAAAATTTTGATGGAGCACGTGAGGAAGATGATCAGATGATGAAGCCGGTAAATCCGTGTCTTTGACTTGCTGGATGGTTGAGACATATTAATGGAGAGAATGGGAAAGAGAGATGAGATTGTGAGAGACAGCTATAGTAAAAATACTGTTTCTGTTTTAGCCAAAAACAAAATGCGTAAAACAAAGTACATGCCAAACGAGGTTGGGAATGTTTTCCTTGTGCTCTTGTTGGGTGGACTACTTTGGGTCTTGAACGTTTTGTTTTGGGCCTTGTTTTCTATAGGCCCGCATCTTTGCATATTCCTTTATCCCTTATTAATACTTTTTTTATTTAAAAATAAATATTTTCTATTTTTTATTTGCAGTTTTGCCTCTTTAAAAATTTATTATTCTATTGAGTTACAACCAAATTTAAACTCCTCTTCATAATACCTCTCCTGTTGTATTCTAAATTCTGTATTAAAAAAGTGATCGGTTATAGGTTTGGACTGTTAATCACCTGCTTAAATCTTAAAAACAATAACATATTTAAAATATGATGTCATATTGTGAGCACGGATCAACTGTTGTTTTGTGATCTGCACTTTTGCTGCATTGTCAATTAATCAAATATGATTTGATTCTAGTTGTTCAGCAAAACTGAAAACACAAAAAAATTAATCAATATTTCTTATGACATGTTTCATATTCTTTTTTTCACTCAATGTTCGTGAAAGATTTCTTCATTGGGTAGCAATTAGACACTGAATTACAATATCACAGAACCTGATTGCAAAAGCAATGGAACTTTCACTTGGCGAAAGGAAAAGAAAATTACAATGTTGACCATTTGTGTTACCATTGTGGGAGAGCATTATTGTAAAATGGACGACTTTTTCTATATGTGACTATGGATATGTATCACCAAAAGATGGTTCAGGATAAGTCTAAACCCTAAACATCAGTTATAAATGATTAATCCTAGCATTTTCGCTGGACTGCTGGGCCTAAGGGATTTTTTTAGAATTTGTTTGATTCTAATTGTGGGAACAATTTTTTGTTTTAAAAAAATTAAAAATAAAAAATTGTACACAAAATTTTGATTTGGTTTAATTTTTTGAAAACTATTTTTTAAAAACTCAGTTCTAAAAAGGAATGTTTTCAGAGAACTGTATTTTATTATTATCTGAAAACTATTTTATGTTGTCTGAATTCTTAAGAACTATTTTCATAGTTACAAACCAAACATGCCCTTATTTTTTTTCGAAAATGGTTAAGCAATGTATTTATGTATAGGAAAATGTACAAGGCAAAGGCCAACGATGTTATTTATTTATTTTTTTTACAAAAAAAATATATATATTTTATCATGTGTTAATGTACCCTCACAATCAAATTCCAAGCTTTGTGTATATGGCAGTCGAAAGTGTGACCAACGAGGACATCGTGACCCTAAAGAGATAATTATGACGACCTTGTAGACGAGTGCTAGAGGCAATAATAGACTATCACCTCCCACATCAAAATGAGTTAAATGCGCACATTCCCACATTGACCGGTTATGGAGAGGGGAAGTGCTATGATGATATCTCCAAATGGTTGAAACCCTATTAGGGTAAAACTCAATCACAAATTTATTTGTGCTCCAATCCAATATCATATCATGTGTTGGAGTGGACAGTTATGATTGTATCTTTAATTATAATAAAATTAAAAGGTGAATATTAATTATTTTTATTTATTTTTTAAGAGATGAAGAATTTCATGAACTTTTTTTATTAAAAAAAAAATTTACTGTACTTAATGATGAAAAATAAGTTTCCCTTATCATTTATGAATTAAATACCAAACATATACTACTAGATAATAGATCTGAACGCAAAACCAATCTAATTTTGAACTAGTAATGTGCTCTCTCGGAGTTTATAGCTGCCTCTAACTTTTCCTCTGTTCTCTCTCTTACCCATCTTTCTCGTAGTTGCTCAGATGAGCTTCCTGTTGTGAAAAGTCCTTTCACTATAACGGGCTTTTAAGAATCACTTATAGGAAGGAATTTAGAAATAAGAAAGGCGTTTGGTAAACCTTACTTTTGAGAACTTCTTTTATGTACAAAAGTGATTTTACTCACACGATATGTGTTTGGTTGCAAAGTCACCAAAGTCCTTCTACTATTAAATAACTACAAGTTTACAATAATATCTTTACATTCTATTTGACACAAATATTGAATCATATCAACATCAAAAAAATAATAATAATAATTGTAATTAACATAAATTATAATGAACAATTAGATAGAACACTTCTACCACTAAAAATGGATAATCGATATGTTAAATATTATTTAAAGAAGACAATAAATTTCCATTTATATATAAAGTAAACATGATCAATAATTTAAATACTAATTCCAAATAAACAATAATTATTCAAAATAAATAAATTAAAATTTTAGAATCAATCCTAAGACATAAATAGACTAAGGAACAATTTATCTAGTTGATTGCCATATTGAATTAGCAATCCCATCACGTATAATGCTCATCTCTTGTTGTTGGTCCACCGTTCCACTAGATTCCGATAAAGTAACACGCGTGTACATATCATCGTTGTCACTGGCATAACCTTCATCATCATCATATCGTCGAAATTCGGCATCCGCTATTGCTTCTTGTCGTATATAATTGTGTAATGCCATTGATGCAATCACAATTAACCTTTGTGTTGGGAATGGAAAAGGAGCCATATGTTTTAAAATTGCCCACCGAGCCTTCCAAACTCCAAAACAACATTCATTTATATTTCTAAGAGATGAGTGAGCATAATTAAACAGTTCTCTAACTCCTCTTGGTTGGCGATTTCTTTGAAATTCTTGTAAATGATAACGTACTCCTTTATATGGTGCTAAATATCCTGGCATGTTAGCATACCCAGCATCAACAACATAATATTTACCTACAAAAAGAAAAAGAAAAATATATAAAAAAAAGTTACATAAAAAAAAAAATAAAATAAAAGAAAAAAGAAAAAAAAAATTATACGAACCACTTGGAGGCTTGGGAAAATTCAAATTTGGCCTACCAAGAGCTTCGTTAAGTATACGAGAATCATGAGCCGATCCCTCCCATCCAGCCCAAACAAATGTGAATTTCATATCAAATGAGCAAGCAGCTATCACATTTTGTGTGCAATCTCCTTTACGTCCACGATATGCAAGTTGTTGATCGACTGGAATCACTGCATCAATATGCGTTCCATCGATTGCACCAATGCAAGCCTACAAAAAAGATTGTTATGAAGTTAACAATGAAATAATGATAAAATATAATAATATAATTAATTATGAAAGAAGTACATAAATTACCTTAAAATGAGGCCAATATTTAGGATTGTTGCGCATATGAATAGGGATATCATCAAACGAAGGAGGCACATTTTTTCATCTATTTTTTGTCATATTTTTTTCAGTTCTCCTTTGAAAGTTTTGCAGTACATAATTCCATCCTTCCTTACTAAGGACAATCCCTTTTTTATTTCCCTTTAACATTTGATCATAACATAATTGTACAAAAATACTATGCAACTCATTATTCCAAATTGCTTTTCCCTTTTTTTCACTCTTTTGACTTTGCATTGATAACCCACCTGTTTCATTATTTGCCATCTATAACATAATATAACAAATTAGCTTGGACAATCAAAATGCATGGTACAACATGCATGTTTGTGAGCAAGTTAGGCACAGTAATAAGCTACAAACATGTAATGCATGATACATCCATAAATACATAGATGAATACATAAAAATAAAAAGAATTAAAGTTGCCCCCATTTCCTATGTCCTCATTATAAGAGCTCATTTCATACCATAAAATTAATAATCTATAAAGAATTAAAATAACCTCAACTTCAGAGTACAGAGAAACAACAAAAAATGAAATAGTACAGAGAAAACCATTTAGGAAAAAAAAAAGACATAGTACAGAGAAAACAACAAAAAATGAACAGAATGAATCCCATCCTTTAGCTAGAAGAAAGTAGATCACAACGTGATAGCATTCCCAAACTGTCCATGATATCACAAAGAGATTGAACCAAAACCAGGTCTCACGGCCCTCGCAAGACACTTACCCATAGAGGAAGTGAACTCACAAGGCATCAAAAACCACAAAGAAAAAAAACAGTGCATCAGCATCTATCAAAAAAATAAATAAAGTTTGTCACACTGTCAAGTTTTTTTTTTTTCTTTTTCGGACACACTATCAAGTTTGACAAATCAGTCAAATTGCAACAAATTACAAAAACAGAGACACATATCAATTATTATTATTATTATTATTATTTTGATAAATAGAGACATGTACCAAATTCTACAACTTTGAAATTAGAAAAACCAGTGCTATAGATCAATATATAAACACCTTGACAAAAATCCAATGATGATAACTAGCAAGAAAGAGGAGATAATATGTGATAATACATCTTCACAACATCAAATTGACCGAAAAGTTCATGTCTCGAATATAGAAGGAAAATAACATATTCAACAACAATGAGAATGATTTTGCAGAAGAAATGAATTGTTCTATGATGCACTTAAAAAATCATGTCTAACCTGAGTTCGAGTTTTGCAACTTATGAATCATGCAGAGAATTTGCAGAAATTGAAAGAGCTACTAAAGATTGAAAGGGAGAAAGATAATATATATAGCAGTAGTATTTAGACAATTGCAAATTTTGTTGATAGGAATGTTAGTCCTAAATTTTCTCTCGGAAATTTTTTTGCCCGCCTATTCCAAACGAAATTTTTTTATATGAATTTTTTTTGCCTGCGGGTTTTTTTTGCCTCCATACGAAATTTTTTGTAGGAATTTTTTTTCTGCGTATTCGTAGGAATTTTAAAACTTTCCATAGGAGACGAAACATACCAAAACTCTTCATTGGTCAAAGAAATTCTAGAGATTGATAGAGGTGAACTTACAGAAACGATGATTCGATAATGGATTCTAGGGCAGTGGCAAATTGGGAATGGAGAATTTGATGAAAAATACTATGATTAGGAGTGTAGCAACACTCAAATTCATCTTCAAAATCCTAAATAATATTCTCTAGCAGAAATCCAAACACTAGTGGGCTATGCGGAACTCCGGCGAGAAAGTACGCTTCATGCGAATTTTCTTTTTCCTGTTAGTTCGTCATCTCCCCTAGAAGACATAGATTCCTTTCGTAATAAAATTGAGAACGAAGGTTAATTTGAAAAAAAAATTATAATTTATAAGGTCAAAATTGTAACAACAATATTTATCACTTAAAACCCTCCTTGCTTCCCGAGAAGTGAATTTGAGAAGCCTCATTTTGTTGCTTCGGTAGAATGGACTTTTGAAGAGTTGGGCTTTATAAGGAAGCCCTTTTAAAAATATTTACCTAACACTCAATTTTTTTGTGAATTCCTTCCTGGACTTAAAAGCCTATTTTGAAGCCTCCAGAAGCCACGCCAAACACAGCCATACTACTAGATAATAGATCTGAACGCAAAACCAATCTAATTTTGAACTAGTAATGTGCTCTCTTGGAGTTTACAGCCATCTCTAACTTCCTCTGTTCTCTCTCTTGCCTATCTCTCTTGTAGCCGCTCGGCCCTTTCTGCTTTGCTCCCTGTTCCCTTCCATGGGAGTGGGGAGGTGACCTTGCTTGCCTCCCACGTGTTAATAACATCGGCGTGTCACAATAAGTTCGCATGTGGGTGGTTTTTCACGTTGTTTTTTTGTTTTTGTATGACTAGATCTGCTTTTATTTGGTTTGTTTCAGACTCGACAGGGTGGATATGTTGTTTTTCCTTTGGCTAGATCTCTGATCTAGGTCGATTTTTGTTTTTCTCTGGCTTGATTTGATCTTGTGCGGAGTTGGGTGTGTGGAGGCGCCTTGTGGATACAGTTTTGGAGCTGTTGCCTTGATGATGGTTTGACCTTTAGTCACTCCAGTTTGCTGCTCTTTTCTCTTGGTGATTTCCGTTCTAGAGCGGTGACTATTTCTTAATAAATCTGAACCTATTATTCATTTTATTGTATTGCTTAATTATTTGTATGTCTTTATTTGATTTGTGCCTTTCAAATAATAAAAAAAAAACAAAATGCGCTGTGTCGGTAAGACTCGTAAAGTATTTTACAAATAAATCACTACTATATTGTCTCACGTCGAGATGGTCTACTAAACCTAGCTCTTTCTAAGACCCTCCTCCCTTCACTGCCTCCTCCTCAACCGACACCTCCGATGAACTAACAGCTGTAAACATCTCGGTCTTCTTTTAGCGTTTGTTTCCAATGAGGGCTGTTTCCTCCCTCTTTCTTTTGGCTATATTATCAACAATGCCGAGGGCTTTTTGGGTGGCCAACTGCTACTAATCGGGTGAACGTCGTATAAACGGAGGTAGATATAACATCCAAACCCTATACGTTCGAAATGATGCTATTCTACCATTATAGTATAGTTTGTATAGAAAAGTGCAAAGGGATTGCTTGTGTATTCCTAGAGACGGTGGATAGAGTTTTGATGCAGACTGTTTTGTTTCCATAAATTTTCCATTTCATTTTCTATTTCTTTGCATTGCTTTTCTGGCCCTTACATTGATTTTACTGGAAACTTTGTTTGGTTAAAACTGTTGAGACTGAAAACACATCGTGATTTTGGTTGAAAACATGTATCCTTAAGAAATAGGTCAGGAGTTTCGGTTTAAGTATCATTTTCTTAAAAAAAACAACAGAAAAGGAAAAAATCATATATCTTATTAACATTTAACAATCCAGGTCATACTTTGGGTGGGATCTGCCAGAACTGGTTCCAAATTCGGACCAAACATCAGAGGCCTTCTGTTTGGGGTTTCAAATCCGAAAGTTTTAATCTTTTAGCGAGACAGAGGGTCATTGGGGCGGGTACGGGTCATTTTACCTGTTTATATGATATATTGATGTGCTTTAGAAATTGGGACCTGGATCATTTTGGTTGGTTTTGCAGCCGGTTGACAGGTCTGGCTGGTTTTGTTTATAAGCATATCCTAAGGGGAATATTGTTTTTCCCTTCTCGGATCCATTATTCCTGCCTAACTTCGTTTTATCGAATGTTCCCCCGATGGGACAACTTGTTCCAAACCCGAACCACTAATATTAGAGCAAAGAGGCGGACAAGTTACATTATTAGGAGTGCACAAAAATTATTAGAATTGATAAACCGGATCAGACTAAACCATGTTGTTTGGTTCAATTCTATGATAGAATGGTTCGGTTTCGGTTCTAAAATTAAAGAATGGTTGATAATGGTTTGCTTCGGAGTTGAGGTAAAATTGAATCAAACTATTAACCTATTTAATATATATTTTACATGAACGTAAATGCACAATTTTTAGTAGTAGAGAACAAAATTTACCATGCAGTCCTATGTTATATAATACATAGGATAATCATCTCTCTCTCTCTATATGTATATATATATATATATTTCAATATTTGATTTTTCATTCGATTAATATATATATATATATATATATATATATATCTATCTATCTGTGTGTGTATATTTTTTTTAAAAAAAATTAAATAATTGGCAAGCACAAAGTTATGGGGGAAAAAAAATTATATAAAGAACTTTAGATGTAGTCAAATTTTCATTTTCTTACAATTTTTTGATCCATGTGTAACTCATATGAGTTATTGAAGAAAAAGTACAAGTAAATTATTATTATTTTGATAAGTAAGAGAGAATTTAAAAGAAGTCCTCAAGAGGGGAGCGATCCCAGAAAACAAAAGTCACCTAAGGCAACACGTGTCAGCCACAAAGGGTAGGGACTGCGCAATCACAGTGGCTTGTCACTGATTAGCTTTCCTCATCTGAAAATGTGTTGTTGGTATTGGTAACGAACTAGGGTTCTTTCTCGTATGCATACATATATATCTATATATTTACATTGTCATTACGATATTGCTTGACTTAGGTAGAAAAATGTGGAGCACCAGATAGCCCCTTGCTTCTTTAAGTTCAGTTGCAAGGAAATATAGAGAAAAGGGAACTTGGGTGCTAAATTAACATTTGTTTTTGGCACCAACATTTACAAACTGTTCACTGATTCAAACTTCTTTGTTCAGGTTTGTGTTGCCAAACATAGTTTGAGTTTGCCTCTCTCAAATGATCGAAAAATTTCTTGTTTCTTCAGCTAAATTGGTCTCTATGACCTTATTTTAAGCATTGGGAGTCCGAATCAGAGTCCTTTTGTTTTGGGTTTTGTGAAGTGATGAAGTTCTTTTAAGCCGAAGTTCAGTGTAGAACATATGTGTGTATAAATGGTCTTCAAAGTTCTATGATTGCTTCATATTGATGTTGCCATTTTGCTATGCAACTACCCAATTGGTTATAAGACATTTTCCAAAGCTCATTTCACAAGTGACTGGGTGAGTGAGATAGTTTTGTGCTTATATATATATACACACATACCTTTCACTTTTGGCCAGTTGAGGTCGAATGTGCTTTATAGTGTCAAGGGCACCAAAAGGTGCTTTGGTCAATAAAGAGTGCAAATGGAGTATGCATGACACTAATTGCTTTAACGCATGTTTTGTGAGTGTTACTGGTCAAATGTATCTTAGTGATCTTCTGCACCAGCTGCTCAATAGCCTCCTACAGATTGACTGGTATAATTGATGCATAGAGTTCTATCGTTAATTGCTACTTATTTTTTTCAGATATTTCTGTCTATGTAGTGATTCAAATTTGATGTTTAGGCCACTGTGGGTATGATGGTATGAGAAACAACAGATTTGTGGTGTGGTGTGTTGTTATGTAATGCTATTTCATGCTATAAGAGCACAGGGCTTTGGCTTTGTGTTTGTCTTGAGGCCTTGGGGATTTCATTGTCTCTAGACTAACTCACCAGGGTGTTGTTAAAGCCTCCCAGTTTTGATTCTGATGTCATACGAGATTGTGATATTTATCATATTTATTATTCCGACACTTAGTTTCAAACTGCCAGTAGTGGAGTCCTGTTAAGTTTGTATCAGCATCGTACAATTTCTTAGTGCCTTGCTTAAGTGTTCGTAAGTCTTGAAGTTTTAGGTATAATCAGAATACTTTCTTGCCTTGTGTTGTTATGGAGTACCCTGCAAGAAGCAAAGCGAAATGATGAAATATATTAATCTGAATTCCAGTGTGGAATCTGCGTTACAGTAGCCTTCAAAGTTCTCTGATTGCTTTGCTAGATGGTACAACTTTCTAGGCATGGTTGCGCATTATATTCTTTATGTATCAAGTCCCTCTCAGGATTCCATGAAATAGTTCTTGTACTTCGTGTGTGTGGTAGAACTCTTTGCATGTAATTCAAGAGGATGTATCTGAAATCCTAGCCGTGCTCTAAGGATCTATAATCTTATTATATATTATTGTACTGTCGGATACTTTTGAGTACGTATCGAGTAAGTGTTCCCCATGTCATTTGTTGTGTTGGTGCATTTTACAGTTTTCTGATTCCTGATACAAGAAATGCTAATTTGCTGCATGGATTACTGGTCCCAGTGTTTTGTTAATTGCATCTTAATCTTGTCGTCACTAAGTTATGAAAGAAAAGAAAGGATTTTGAGCACCAAAATACATAGTCTGTTACTGTATACACCTTTCAGACTATACGAGCATGGCGCCACAGAAATAATTTTTCTTTTGTTCATTGTGTCTTGTCTCATCTGTATCAAACGTCAAAACCAATGAAAATTTGGAAAAAGACATCCAATTATGACTCTCAAATTTCTTAACTAGGATGTTAGAATCCCATCACTTATATCTATTCATGTTTTTGTATAAAGTTATTGTCTGTCTACTTCAACGAGACATGGTTAGGGATCATTCTGACCACTTAATAGACATGTTGGATGTATATTTGACATGTGCATCGACCGGTGACCATTTCCTTTTGTACTTGTCAAAAAAAAAAGACCATTTCCTTTTGTCACATGGGACAGGCTTTAAGGATGCCGCTGTATTTTATCTTTTAGAACAAGGAAGTACTTTTAGGTAAGATCTTCAAAAATTGGCCCTTCTTCACTGGATCAAGTTTATACCAATTTTTACATTTTAGAGCACTCGTAAATAATAACCTGATGCATAAATAATAACCTGATGCATCATTAATTTGTTATTATTGTTACTGCTGCTGATGTTACAATTGTTGTTGATATTATTATTTCTAATTTAGTTTTTAATGTTAATGCAGCAAAATCCATCCTGTTTGTATTGACATGTTTTAAGTTCTGAATGAGTTTTTGTGATAACCTTGAAGGCTTTGGGGGTTGAATCTTTAGGAGGCATTGTTTGTTGAGCTCAATAAGTGTTTAATTTACCGTATACAAGTTTAAGTGTCTTGAATGACACCTCTTTCCAGCCAACAAAGCTAAGGCAATATATTTCCATTGAGGAGGGACCCAAATTTGTTTGTCTGGAATTTTGCAGGGTCAGGGACATTGTCACTCAATTGAGGCTTACTTCCTTGGCTAGTAGATGTAGTGTCTGATTTCCCTTCAGCTAATCTGTTGAGAGTCCCTCAGAACCCCTCAATGGCTCGAGCCCTTCGTTTGAAGGGCTCATGGCCCCTTTCTACCACACTTCATGCAAGAATGAAATTGGATCCTTATTGTTCAGGTGTGGTTGGGTTGTTTTGTGAATGATCTAAAATACTGATATAGTCAACCTTGTGACTTTATGTTTTCATTAAAGATTTACTGTAATGAATACAGGCATTAACTATATGGTTAATAAAGTTGACTAATTGAATTATTATATTAATATACTAATATAAGTGAGATGATGATTGACACCACTTTTCAGCATTTGCACTTCATTTTTACTTTTTTATAATTGAAATAATAAATTATATTTGCTTAGAATTTAATGATTCACAACCACAAAGAGAAAGCTTTGTAATTGGAGACTTGAGAGGATCTATTCATTAAAAAGAATCAATTTAATACATTTCTTATGTACCCATAGATGCTATATTGGATTTGAATCAGATTTCGGATCAATCTTTATTGATTGACTGCCTCCATTATGTTGTCACTTGCAAGTACCACTATTTTTGGTTTTGGATCTTCCAAATCATCCCCGCAGGAGATCCGGACCCTTTTTTTTTTTTTTTTTTTTTCTGCTACTTCGATAAAAAGATTCATTATCTTCATTAAAAAATAGGAGGTAGAACCAATAAAGTTTTCTTTTAAGATTCATCCCTTGAGTTGAATACCTCATTCAAGAAATGTTTTTGATGTCCCTTCTCTATTATTGGTGTCATATCTGTGAATCCGGATCCCCTCCAATGGAAGGGATCTCGTGCCTTGGTCGTGTGCATTGTCTAGATTGCTGGTGCAATGCACTATATAAAAGTTGTTGTCGTAGTGCATAAGCAATGTGAGTTGTTTCATGATTGATCTAATGACAGAAAACCGCACAAGATGAAATGACATAATAGAGGATCAGGTTCTGAGTCTCTTTGTAGGATACTTGGCCAAAGTGTATATGTGGTTGCTGGTTTATTAATAGTTTGCTACAAAGATTGAATTTATTGGCACTTCAAATTTTTTGTGATCCAACTATTGCTCCTATACTATGCGTACAAAGGGCCCCATTTGTTACTAACTCCATTACTTGTTTATTCATTCATGCATACCAAACATAAACAGAGATGACCTGACCCCTCTACAGTCACCTTCCACTATCATCAATCACTCATATTTATTCCCATTACATAAAATTGTATAACTAAAGTTTATTCATACTCTCTCTTTCTCTAATTATTTTGGTCCTTGAGATGAGCTCCACGGCCACCGTTGGCCTTACTAGAGAGAGAGAGGTGGACACCAGGATCACGGTGAGTGAAAGAACTGTCCAGGAGAATGGAATTGTTCACACCCTGCACGTTGCTGTTTATGAATGCAGTCTTCAATGGCCGCACCATTTTGTCAGGTTTGTCCTCCATCTTTATGTTGATCCCTTCATCATTACTATTTCTTTCCGATTTTTTACCATCTCTGAGCAGACCACGATGGCCCAATTCCATAATAGCACCTCTGTTTTCACCTGCAATTGTTATAACTCTCACCCCAAAATCTTTGGAGTCCGAATACGTCTTATAAAAACCTTTCTTATCATTGGAGGTGTTGGGTATGATCACTTTAGGTTCTTCAAAGGTTTCTTGCATAATTATAGTTTTCTGCTCGGATTTTGATGGAATCTTGGTTTCGGGTTTGCCTTCAAACTTTATTTGTGCAGGAGGAAGGACCAGAGGAGATGGTGGGTTACTAGAAACGGGCTCCATCTTGGGGGATAGAGGTGAGGTTTTTGCCAAAGGGTTGATGATTTTTGGGGAGGATGTTGGTGTTGCAGCACGAGCATTGACAGTGGCGGCAGCGGCAGTGGCGGAGATAGAAGGTGGTGCCGGTGGTGACATTACTTTGTGGGCTGGAGAACCGGGCAATGAAGAAGCTGAAAGTACTTTTTTGTTAGGAGATGATGGTGTTGAAGAGGAGGATGCAACTGGAGGAACAACTGGGGATTTTGGTGATGGTTTTGGTGCTGGAGACGTTGGCAAAGAAGAAGCGGAAACTTTGATGATTGGAGATGATGGGACAGAAGTGGTGGCAGGAGGTGGTGCAGCAACAGGAGAAGGTGGTCGTGGTGATGGCGAAGCAGTGTGAGCTGGAGGAGCAGCAGCAACAGGTGGTGCATGAGGTTGGGCAGGTGCTTGAGGCTGAGCTACTGAGGGTGGCCTTAATGTGGGTCGGACAAATGGTGGCCTTGGCTGGTGAGCAGGTGGTTGAGCCTGCGCTAAAGGGGCTGGGGATGGGGGGCGATTCATAGAAGCTGATCGGAACCATGGACGAGCTGGTGCTTGCTGATTTGCCATAATATATGTGATACGATGAGTTTAGGCAGTGTATTTCAAGCAAGTTGTATGTATAAGCCAACAACCAACTCAGACTCACATTTATAGTTAATAGACATGACTGCTAAACAAGCCGAAGCAGCTGGGAGGCATCAGATTCACCAAGCACCTACAATTAAGTCAAAATCTCAATAGATTGGCATCAAGTATGGGCTGGAGTCTTTCATTGATGAAGAGTAAAAGACTAGTGAATTGCACTTTTCCTTGGCCCTTGAGACAAAATTAATGGTGTTCTAAGTATTTTTAGACCAATTTCAACTTTTGGCCCCTAAAGCATAGGCACTCTAAAGTTGTAAATATTATTCTCATTTTGTAAAATATAGTCGCAAGCCTTGAGCTTAAGTGCGCATATTGTGCGTATGCGTGTCTGCGCGTTCTTTGAACCATTATTTTTGAAGAGTAATGTGCTAATTGCGGCTTCTAGATACAAGAGCTACTACACATTAATAAACCATCACAGAATGGTGATGCCATATGGAGGCGCATATTAGATACATGTCATCTCTAACGTAGGAGTAGATATTGGGTGCTTTGGGAACGCAACTTGTATACCCCCATTCAATCAAATATATCATATTATTATTTTGGTATTGGCAATTTTGTAGGTAGATGGATTAATTTTTTTTTAAATGATGCATTGTTATTGGGTGTGTATACCGTGGACGAGACAAGGCACTCAATATACATACTCATACGTAGGTTGGGTTTCAGCGGGTTTTTGGCTGGTCATAAGTGGGTTGATCGCGAATGGATTGGTAACCCATTATCAATCCATCAATAGGGGGTCATATGCAGATTGTGTATCAAATGGACTGATCAACCCACACATAACCGGTTGACCCATTCACATAATTTATTATTGTTATTATTTTTATTTTTTTCCTCCCCTACTCACAAAATTATGCATGTATATGACTTTTTTATATATAAATTTATATATTAATCTACTCACAAAATTATTCATGTATATGACTTTTTTATATATAAATTTATATTTTAATCTACTCACAAAATTATTCTGATGATTGTTTTTTTAATATTCACAATAATAATAATTATTATTGTATTTTTCTGCTTTCTTGATGGAAATGTATAATTGAAGTTTATATGTTATTTACTATAGAATAATCCTAACAAAAGCCCCAGATTTCATCTTTGGTAATAAGGAAATAATATATAACAATTCAGATTTTAAAAGTTCAATTAGTAAGTAATTTTTTTTAAACAAATCTGTGCTTTACATCTTGTAGTGTATTGACTTAATAATTGGCAGGTTATCCAACTCTATTTTGACAAAATTTTATATGGGCCATTTTTTGTTCACTTAATTAATTTTTCAAGCCCTATATATATATATTTTTTAGATGAGATAAATGAGAAAAGAGAAACGAGGGGAGAGAGACTAGAGAGATAAAAGAGTGGAGAGAGAAAAGAGAGGAGTGAGAGAGATTAAATGAAACAAAGTAATTTGATTTTGAAAAATATCATGTGTGGTGCGCTAAGTGGGCACCCACTCTTAACCCACTACTAACCCATTAAGTATATTATCCATTAATACCTATTCAACTAAATTAGTCACCCAATACCCAATAATTGTTGGACGAATTTGAGCGAATTTTTGGATTTGGGTATATTTTGTCACCCATACTCATGGGTAAAGAATAACCAAAAGGGTTTTTTTTTGGTTAAAGAATAACCAAAAGGGTTGATGTTCACAAATGGGTTGAAATTCACAAATAAAAAAGAAGGTTAATGTTCTTGGAGTGATGCTCACAAAAGGGGTATTCTGATGGCGTTACCTTTGTTTGGGGCAAAAAACATCTAAATGGCCTAGAAACTTTACAAAGCTTAACCCCAAGCTGTGGGTTGGTCTTAATGGCTGGACAACGGGCCTGCTGAGGGCCTGGGCTTACGAGTTTTAAAGGAGGTTTGATCTAATTGGGCCTCCATTATGACTTAATTCTATGATTAAAATGATTATATCGGGCTAATTTAAAGTTTAATTGAGCTGGGGAGTTTAAGTGGGGCTCTAATTCCACTAGAATTAGTTTGAGTACAAGTCTAAAATTGAGGTTTTTTGAGCAAAATTGGGCTTAGTAACTATAATCACTTGTAAGTGATAATATAATAAATACTCCGTAATATATCTATGCCACCATTAAAAATGCGTAGATTTGTTTTTATATACATTTTTTATAATATTTTTAAATTTTAAATTTTAATTTAATACAAGAAGATGGGTAACCAAAAAGTCCTACAGTTACATCCTTACGAAAAAAGAAAGTATCATTAAAGTATTTTATATTTTTAAGTAACTTGAATTTTTAAAATTTTGATTTCTTTTATTTTGATTTCATTTTCTCTATTTTGCTTCTAGAGTTGCTATTGTTTTGTTTCTAGGGTTTGCAGTTGAAGAAGAATCAAGAGAGAAGAAGAATCATGAGAGAATATAATAAAAAATTATAAGTGCAAAGTTATTATTTTTAATTAGGTTTCTGCTACCTTTTCTATTCCATACAAAGTTTGGAATTTTCTCTCGTTTTTTTTTTTTTTTTTTTTTTTTTTTTTTTTTTTTTTTTTTTTTAACAAGTATGTTTACCTTTTCTCTGTTATGAATTTTTTCAATTCCTTTTCTCTATTTTGAATTTTTTAATAATTGATTAGCAACCTTTCCTCTATTATGAGATTTTTTTTTTCAATAATTGATTAGAAACTTGACAACAAATTAAAAATTTTCAGTAAATTGAATTTTTTTTTTTAAATTTTTAATTTCTCTTATCTCTTTTCAATATGATTTCTGTAATTGATTAGCAACTTGATAAATTTGGTTTCTATTATGCAAGTACAATTAATTTTGTCTACGCATATAAAACTTATTTTATTTATGCTTGATTATTATTTACTTTAGTTTTCGATCATAATTAATTTTTTATATATTAATTTTAGAAGCTATATTATATCTGTTTAATTATTATTTTGTTTAGTTTTAAATCACAGTTAATTTTTAATTTACAAATATAATCTACATTATTTCTATTGATTACTGTCTATTTTGGTTTTGAATCACAATTATTTTATTATTAATTCTACTTGATTATTGTTTATAAAATTTATTAATGAAAGAAATAATAAAATTGAACTCTTATAAATATATATTTATAATGACTTTATAAATATTATCAACTTTTTAAAACAATTTGCTAATTGGTTATTTATAAAAGAATATTTTTTATTATAAATTAATTTTTAAGTTTTGACCATGTGCGTCACATGTGTTTTTTATTAGTAAACAAATTAGAAAAGAAAAAAAAAATAGAAAGAAGAAAGAGATTCTTGACCTAGGGACTGACATTTGACACACAAGCCACTCCTAAGCCAAGAGGCCAGTAGTATAATACTTACATTCGATCATATACCATTTACTAAAGTATTTTTTTATATTCATAGACTAGTACTTATTGTTAGATATTAGTATTAGGGTTAGTTGTCTTCACTTACTCTTGTTATCATATATATCATTACCATATATTAGGTTTGCTTGTTCTTTATATATGTCATCTCCTATATAAACTCCTTTGTACTCTTACATTATTACTACAATACAATATACGTTTTATATCTTTCTCTTCTCTTCTTCTTCTTCTCCTCCTCCTCCTTTTTTATTTTTTATTTTATCTAACATGGTATTAGAGTTTTTCGATTACTAGTAAATAGTTTATCAGTTTATTGTAGTCACCACTGGGGATGGCACCATTAGCCCCATCCCCGGTGGCGGTTAATCGGCAAACTCACTCTTTAACTCTCCAAGATTTTCATAAGCCTCGTCCAAGGAAGCTTCGTTGTTTAAGTATTCCTCCGAAAAACCCAACAAGATGCCTCGTTTACAGAAGCCCTGCCTAGGGATGCCCCGTATAGGGAATCTCGTTTAGAGAAGCCTCGCCTAGGGATGCCCCGTATATGGAAGCTTCATTGTTTAAGTCTTCATCAAGGAAATCCAATGAAATGCCTCATTCAGAGATGTTCAACTGTTGGATCAACTTCGTTACGACGCCACCACGCATCTCAAGTGATAATCCCACTCTTCCACGCGCTTCGATGCGTAACAACGGTAATCCCGCACCTCAACGTGTCGGATCAACTCCTTCACCACGCCACCACGCACTATTAGTGGTCATCATGCTCTCACACGTGCCTCAATGTGTCAGATCTTCACAACTCCGTCACCGCGTCGGCATGCACCATCAATGGTCATCATGCACTTCCAAAGCACCATCAACATGGCAAATCCTTACAAATTCGTCACCCATGCCACCGCACCTCAATGTGCCTCAAGTAGTCTTCATGCTCCACCATCGCTTTTATAATCTCGTCTCCAAATACTCAGCTTGAGTTTGAGGAGATTGCTAGATTATATTGTCTATTTTATATTAGGGTTAGGGTTAACTGTACGTCTTCACCTACTTTCATTATCATATATTACGTATAAGGTTTACTTGTTCTCCATATACGTCCTCTCTTATATGAACCCCTCTATACTCTTACATTATTACTATGATGCAATATATAGTTTTTTTTTTTTTTTTTTTTTTTTTTTTTTTTTTTTTTTTTTTTTTTCTCTCTATCTCTTATTTCTAACACTAATAAGTTGATTAGTTGAATTATTATATTAATATACTAATATAAATGATGATGATTCACACTCTACTTTTTAACATTTACATTTCACTTATTTTTTTTAATAATTAAAATGACAAATTATCTTTTTAATAATTGAGTATAAATGTGTGTTTACTTTTAGGGTAACTATGTTAATTTTTTAAAGAAATACAAGTAAAGTACAAGGGTAGAAAAATGATATCATAAACAATTTTATTTATTTATTTATTTTTATTATAACTTTCATGTATAATGAATATTTTATAGTATCACCAAAATTATTTGGTTTAATGGTATTTTCTTTC